AGGAAAAACAAAGATTTCAAGATGAGTGATCAGATCAGAACTGATCTGACAGCAAAAGGAATTGCGCTTATGGATGTTGGCGCGGAAACAGTCTGGAGGCCATGTGTTCCATCCGGACAGGATCAGGAGACATCTGAAGTCAACGGAGAGCAAAAGATGCCACCATTTGAACAACAGAAGTTGAAACCTGGCATTGAATTGATGGTGTCTAAGCCTTGATTAGGGCGCAGTCAAATCGGAGGGCATCTGATTACAGGTGTGGTATGTTTCGATCTACTTGAGCAGGTTGTATACTGACAACTTCATAACGTTGATTTATGTTGTAACATTTTTCTGCTGACTTACAAGTTTTCAGAACACAAAGAGAGATTAGGTTAAGTTGGAAAACCTATCTGGATAAATTATTTTCAGCTTATATTATATACAATACAGAAGCTTGGTTAGACAATTTTGGGTTTTACTCGCAACCAAAAAAGACAATATATATTGATCTTAAATTAATTGCATTATCCGACATGCCGAATGATCATCAGTTCTGCAGATTAGTTTAGTGTTAAAGGATCTGAAAGTGTTTAGAGACGTAATTGCCTGGGTGAAGGAATTTTAATCTTCCCATTAAGTTACGAAGAGACATTTTATATAAAATGTGAATAGATCTCTCTTTATCAAGTCATTCAACCTCAGGTGAATATTGATAAAAATGTTATTCAATAATTTTGGGTTAAACCAATATATACATATATACGTACATAACACAATACATACATATATATGCCTACACCGCGTATATAGAACTCTCGCCGCATGGCTCCAGATAAGTTTCTTATTCATTGTTGATTTGCAAACATAGCTATATACAATAAAAAAAATAAATCATTAGCTAAATAAACAACAACAGATAAACAAAGAACCAACCACTTCCCCCACCCCAAAAAAAAAAAAAAAAGGAAAACAACACTTAGAGATCTAAAGTGCTCAAGAAGTGTGTCTGTATATATATATATATATATATATATATATATATATATTATATATGTAATAATCCTAATAATCACCCTCTATTTATCTCATCCTCGTTACCAGCCGAGTCCATCGCCACCTTCTGCTGCCGCAAGTCCCCGCTCTCCTCAACACCAACCACTGCCGCTGCCGGACACCCACCATAACCAAAACGACGTCGTCCAACTTCTCTGAAGCTCCATGAAAGCAGGGACAGCCCTACAACCGCCATGGTCGCAGCAGCCCCAAACCCAGCCAAGGCTCCGGCGATAACCAAGGCAGCTCCGAACAACAACGGACCGAATATCACCAGCAAAGGTAAAGTTATCAAGAACAAGATTCCCGTCGCCAATAAACTGAACCCCACGATCACCACAAGCGGGCCGGCTACGGAAACGCCGGCCACCGTGGCACCGACTAAAGTCGTCCGGCTGATATGGTGGCTGGGTCCACCGTAGGAGATGATAATCTGTCGATCTTCGTCGGCCATTAGGATGGATCGATCGCCTTGATCTTTCGTGGCGAAGGAGGTGGATCGTATGACATGGAGAAGGACGTGTGTGTAGTTAACAGGTGGAGATATATGTATATGTATATAAATACGAGACGTGTTGTTGAGATGGGGTGTATTGGAGCTCTCGCGGCAGTCTCCTGTCATGGCAGCTGTAACAATCCCTGTGGTGACACGTGATTACATCATCTTTTCTGTCTCTACCAGTTATTATCCCTGGAAATAACAGATAATTTTAAAATTTTCGGCATAAAATTTATTTGAGAATTGATAATTATTTTTAAGTAAAAAAATAATTTTTTTTTTCAAAATAAAGAAATTATTTAAATTAAAGCTTATACTTTGAATTTCACGTAAAGTTTTATATATGTATATATAAGATATTCTTTTTTTTTTTTAACATAACATATACTGCTATTCGTTAAAATGGATGTGTAAACGAGAAGAGTAATTTATGAAGTTCCTCATTTACACACACACATATATATATATATATATGTGCTAAATTAGCTGATTGCTGTCTTGTCTAACACAATTAATAATAAAACCAGAAAAAAAAAACTCAAATTCTAGTATGTTATTTTTTCTGTTCTCACAAAATCCAACCCAAACCCAAATCAAGAAAGTAGAAGGAAAATCGTAACAGGAGACAAAATTCAACTCACAAAGAAGCACTCAAGAGGAAAATATAGAAATAAAAACATAAAAGACCAATTTGAGAGGAAAGATTAGGGTTAGAGGATAACTAAAAGAGATAAATAATATTATTTTGTGCTAATTGTAAGGAAAGAAAAGTAGATTCTATGTCGAACTAGTGTAATTTTGGTACAGGTTACGAGTTCAAGTTCTCCAATTTAAAAAGTTAGTCTTTGAGATGCATATCTTAATGACTCGTATTAATAATATTAGGGTTACCCATCATCCCTTTTGAGTTATAATTATATTATACTTGGAGAGTACGATGGAGTGTTATATACTAATTATAAGGTGTAAAGTTTGAATTTATGTTAAAATTGTGGGACTTTGATATCAAATTCGAGGTACACAACCTCGATACGAAGTTTATATAAATTTAAGCTCTTAAATCTTAATATATAGTTTTCAGATGTGATTATCATAAATCTAAATTAATAATATTAGAATTCCAATGTTTCTTCAAGTTGTAATCATGGGATGCATAATTAGAGTATTCACATGGGAGTAGTTAAAAAGATGTAGTCATTGGGGATATGAAGTATGAGACTTATAATACACCAAAAGTATGTGAATTAAATATGAAGTTTTATACGGGTTTGAATTCCCTAAACTTAATAGTTAGCTCTTTTAAGGCGTAACTTCTCTAAACTTATGTCAATTCAAATTCTAACGTTAATTGTTTTTAAACTTAGGCCGATCATCATTGACTAAAAAAAGTTAATACGAAACAATTCTATATACTAGTAAGATTTGATATGTAGTATGAAATTTATACAAGTTTGAGCTTTCTCATTTTAGTAGAAGTTATTTTTGAAGTTTGATTTTTCAGAACCAATCATATATACTTATTGTCGCATTTAAGGTTTAAGAAGGAGAAATTATGAAGAAAATAAAAGAACTATTTATTTTAAAAAATAATCAAAGTTAACATATTTATAATTTGAAATATAAATTTAATGTCAATTTTAAACTAATATGATGAAATTTTTACGATGACCTAATAAAAATTATATCGGATTAAATTGACATAAAGATTAAAATTACTAATAAATAACATATAAATTTTGAAATCAACGATAGGAAAGTAAAAAACAATAATTATGTAAAAGAATATCTAAACTAAAAAGCTATAATAGTTCTAAATCTTTCTTGAGAAAATCTAACAAAAAAGTGAGGTAAGAGTGGAGAAGAGAGATTAGTTGTGTACAATGGAATTATTTAATTCTATTACATTTATTAAATTAACCTATTTTGACCCAACAATTATATATATATATATATATATACATATTTTAATATTAGAGAATCAATTTTAACTTTTATCTAACTCAAGTATACTGCATATTACCTTATACTTTAAAAAGTATGATAGCTTATTTTTAGTAGAATGTTTTTTTTGAAGTATAAGGTAATATGCAGTATAATAAGAGTTAAAATTGAATCTCTGATATTAAAATATATATATATATATATGTATAATCTATCATCTTGTTATATAGATAAAGACATGAGGAGCAAATTTAGTGTTGGATCCAATGGGGATTTAAATGCAAAGAATTTGAGTTCATAACTCAATATGCATGCTCCAAAGGTACAGCTCTTCCTTGGGAACTCTGAGATTAAGTGAGGTCAAGCCACTTTCTTCTTCATATCTAAACTCCATCTCCTCTCCATCCACTGTTATGCTCTTCGGTTGAGCTGAAGAGTAGAACCCGAACAACCCACATCCTCGAACCTTCATTCTCACGCTTGCACTGCATTCATACTCCAACTCACTAATGGCTCCTCCTGAATTGAACATCTTGAGTAGACCAATGGCACCCAGTTTAACTCCACTAGAAAATTCCTTCACTGGAACCACGGTCAAAACTTCATATTCTCGAGACTTCAGTGTAATCGGCAAAGATGCATCGTTTGGCAAATAAACTACCTCGCCTGGAAAAGTTCGTACCAGAAAGTGTTAGTTAGGAAATCCTTGATGTAAAATCATTAAGTTCATCGACTAATTTTTATAAAAGTTTAAACTAATAGAAAAGAGCAATCCGAAGTTGCAAATATTAATACAGATAGATGTATCAAGATATAAATATGCAAGGAAAATGAAGCTCCAAGTTTGAACCTAGATCTCAAACTCCTACACCATTTTACCAACAAGAAAGAGTGATCAAAATTGAACACAAATATAGATTGATAAATCCAACTATAGCTATAAATACCGAAGGAATATGGGGCTCAAAGTTTGGATGCATATCTCAAACTCGGATACTACTTTAACAATTAATTCAAATGACTAATTTTCTTGGTAGTAGAGCTTTAATGGCTATTTTTTGGAAGTAGGAAAAAGCTTAACTTGTTATTTGTATTAGATTTTACTGTTACTAATATCAAGTTCAATTGTAATTTTAAGAAATAAAAGCATCCTTAACTTACCACCAAGGTGAGAATATAAGATAGCATCTCCTGTCCAACCTTCATTAGCAACTTTGTGCAGATAATCTACATCCTTGGCTCTAACAAGACCAGTGATTGTGCCTGGTTGTTGATCATGAATAAGGTTTTTCTTCCCAACCGGACACCATCCAGCTCCTTGACAATTGAATACAGCAATTACGCCCGTGAAGTTGTTCATATTCCATATCTTTAAAAGGCTGAAACCATCGAGAGAGCAAAATGAACATATAGAGACAACGAGTATTCCACGAAACAGTATTGATCAGTTTTTCTTTCTTTTTTTACCTTTTCCCATCTCTGGCAGGATCATTAAACAAGCAATCCCTTGTCGGCCTTCCTGGAAGTTTTGCCCTCAATATAGAACCATCAGAAGCACAAGCTTTCTCAGAAGATTAAAGTCATGGTGTCCAGGCTTGTCACTGTAAAAGATATTAGACATCGAGACATCTTATGATTTCATAGCTGGCACTAGGTAAAACTGGTATGAAGTCATGATAAAATATCTACCTCACATAAATAGCACATCCACCTACAGCGCGAGCTGCTCCATGATATTCAGCCATTGGGTGTAAACTCTGCCGTAAGAAAGCAATTTGAAGTTACATCCATCGAATAACCCCATAATTATATGGGATTCTTAGAAGAATTTTTTCAAAAAAAAGTTTGCTTACATGGAACATATCCCAGTCTGGCTGCATAAATTCCCCAAGAAAAATTGTATTATAAGCAACTGATGCAATATGAATTGTATGTGATGCAGGATCTCTAGGCCAGAAATCATCGGATGCTCGTATAACAGCTGTTCGTTTTGCACTGCATTCACCAAATAAGATATTAGAACAGCTGACATCTTCTTAAAGCTCTATCAGTAATAAGTTGGATATAAACCTTACCTATACAAACCATCTGTGTTATGACTCATGCAAGAGATGATTCCATTATTGGGAAAGTTTCTTGAGATAGATGCTTCTAATGCTTGATGGTATTTTCTTGCGAGTTTTACCCTTCCACCATGACCTGCCCCTAGAGTTTCCAGGATGTTCTGAACATCAACTTTGACACCGTCAACGCCAGATGAGGCAAGATAAGAGTGGAGTTCATCATAGAAGTTGAAAACTTTCTCAGGATTCACAAGGCCAAGTCCATTCTGAGTTATGTTGTTCAGACAATCACAAGCCTCGTTGGACTGAACACCAGGTGATGAAACAGGATAGGCCACCTTCGATTCATAATGCTCCATTTCTGCAATACCAGGGTTAACACCTCCCCAGTATCCGGTTATTGCATGCCACACATAAACATACTTCAAACCATGTTGGTCTTTTATATAGCTGACAATGTGGCGAAGCCCTAGAGCTGGATCCTCTACTCTCTGACCCTCTTTGCCATCTTTCTGGAACTTGTAGTTCTCTTTTATATGAGCTAATCTGTTTGCAAAGCTGGTGAAGACAACCAAGAGTGGCAAAAATTGTTACTAAATGGAATATCAAAATGCAGAAAAAAATAAAAAGCAAACTTCTAGTTCAAGTGCTATACTTGGCTGAGTTATCAGCTTTGAATTCAATGCTGCTGTAGTCCGTGCCAACAGATTGCCATCCATCATCGATTATAACAAATTTTGGGGGAATTCCACCTTCCTCCAAGCTGTGCAAGAATCGCAGTTAGCACATAATTCATGATGGTACAGCAAAGAAGACTCTACTGCATCATAGGAAAACAATACTTGCGGTTTGACCCAAATATGCACAAAAGTAAGTTTGTTCTGTGTTTTGGGTTATAAGCTACTGTCTCATAAATTAAAATAAAAGTTATTAACACCAACATATGTTTTTCCTAGCTTATAAGCTATGTAAAAAATCCAACTTTCTTTTTTATGATTTCCAGCAAAATAATCTGATTATAAATTATCAAATTCTTATTTGAGTGTACTTACTATTTACTTGGTTAAAACTTTTAATTTATAGATATTTGTTTATCAAACACTCATTACTTGAATATTCTTTATAGGCAAAACAAGAATGCATTTTTTACTTACTTCCCAAAAAATAAGCCTTTACGATCATATAACACTTATCCAAACCAAATGCCTCCTTGGAATGATTGATAACGGAACTTAATATTTCACAACCGTGAAAAGCATTACCTTTCTAATCCTTGCTTCACACCCTCTGCAGTGACATCAGTGTAGTAGGCATCCCAGGTACACCAGCCAAACCAGTTCAACATGTCCGGCATCTGAACCATGAAGCAAGTAAATATCACGAGTCAGTGAATCATTAATCAGTATAAATAATTTTTTTTAACAACAAAGTTAAGAAAAAAAGGTAATAGAGAAAAGAAGAATTACCTTCTTTCTCTCACGATGAGCAAAGGTCTGCAAATGTTTCTCGACAGTTCTGTTCACAATCAGAGATGAACATCAGTGGAGAAAACCCTGACTAAGAAACAACAGAAATTGAAGGATATCATATGAATTATGAAATTTACTTCACAGCACTAGTGATGATGTCAAAAGGGTCAGATCCAGCCGCCACAAAAACCAGATGACTCCCCTCAAATTCATGAACAGCAGGATCTCCTGCAAATCATCCATTAATTTTTAATTATTTTCAATCATAATCTAATCTGTTAAAATTCATCAAAAAGACAGATTTAAGTTGTTATTCCTTATTTTTACTTCACATACCACTTTCCAAACAAATCTCCAATTCATTATCTTCATTCCCCTGAAGAACAGCTCTGAAATCTCCCTCAAGAATTGGTAGAAACACAGCATATAAAGCAGATTGGTCTTCATCTCCATTGTCAAAATGAGAACCATCGTTCACTTCAACCAGCAAAAACTGGGTCTCAAATGGTATATCTCGCCCACAATTACCCATTCTCTGTGTCATCCACCACAACTTGAACCGGAAAACACACATGAACCGTAATCCCCTGCAAATTTCATTAGCAACATTTTATGGTGATGCTTATTTAACCAAAACCCGCCTCACATATGATTTTCTTTTCCTCTTTCTCCCTCAGTTTTATCGGGAATCAAACAGAAAAACAAAAGAAAAACGACCGAACGTTTGGAATACCCAGAAAGCTAAACGGTCCATACTCAAGAAAATTTCATCAGCAATGTTTATTTAATCAAAACCCACATCACATATGACTTTCTTTTCCTTTTTCTCTCCCTGTTTTCTCGGAAACCAAACAGCAATTAAAAGAAGAAAAATACAATGACCAAACATTTGAAAAACTGAGAAAGCTAAGTGGAACATACTCAAGCTTCCCAATCGGGAAGACCCTGCGACTCCCAATCTGATCCGAGGTAACACCAATAAATGCTCCATTGATGAGAGCGGCTCCTGATGCAGGCGTCACCACTATGTTCTCCTTCAGATCATGCAATACTCTCTTCCCCAACACCATCAATCCCCCATCACTCGCACTGATTCCTGCACCAACTGTCATCTTCTCTCCTCCAATCCAACACCAATAGTATCAATTTGCTTTGAGAAAGAAAAACACAAAGCAAAAAGAAAAGAATAGGGAAACCGACTGCAACCCAATAGAGTTTAGTCTGAAACAAGAGCGGAGAAAACGAGCAGATGCAAACAATGATAACCGGTGGAGGGTATTTATAACGATCATGAAAAGGTCGTGGAAAAGAGAAAGAAGAGGTGTACTGCAAATCATGATGGTGTTATGATTTTAGCTGACGAGTACCTGGAAAATAAGCAAATTGCAATCGAGTAACTTGGGCGGGGGAAGAGAATTTTTCTGTGTCAAGATCACAAATTGAAAAATGGTTGGCAGTCATTCATGGCGCGGCGGGAATCAGCTAATCAATCAACTGTTCTCTTTTCTTTTTTATTTTTTTTAAAAATAATTTGATGCAGCAACTTGGCCGCGTAAAAAGAAAATTAATGAAAAGGTGAAAAATAAAAATAAATTTTTCGTTCACATGGGAATAGATATTTTTGTTTTTTTAATAAATATTTAATTATTTTTTTAAAATAAATTTAAAATTTTAAATACGCAGACTAATTGAGTGTTTAATGATCTCTCGAAGAATTTTTATGTAGTTTAATTTATTAAACTCTTTTGTAATAAAAAAATATATATTAATTTTAAAATAATATTAAATTGAAATTGACGTGAAGTTTTGGATGACCAAAATGGATTTAAAGCAATGCAAAGACACGTGTAACCACGTCAGATCCTTGTTGGCATTTAAGTCTTTTGGTTCTTTTACTTGACTCTTTCAATTTTATAATAATTTATGAAATGGGTCAATGCAATGAAAAGACCATACTTTATAATTAAACCCATCACAATGCACTTGAAGAAACGCAAATCTATACATATGTATATGTATATGTATGTGTTTATAGGCCATCATTCATATCTATACATATAGATATATATATCATTCCAAAAACCCAATTAAGTTTTATTGTTAATAATTAATTATGAAGGATCTAATCAATTAGGTACCATTAAAGAGTGGCTCAAATAATAACAACTTATTGCTCTTGTACTTTATAACTTTGAGATTCTCACACAATGCTTTTTGTGATTAGATGTAAATTCCTATCTTCAAAAGATTTCAGAATATTTGCATGAACATTTAAAAATATTAAAAAATTAATGAGTTTTTAATTCAAAATAAAAGGATTTAGGGGTAACGAGTATTTAGTTAAAATAAAAATTTCTAGTACCAATTTGTTTTTTTTAAAGAATTTCGTACCAAAAATTTTTTGTTCTTTATGAATATAATCACCTCAGTTTATCCATTCTAGGGTTAGCAAGAATGATGGACGGGAGAACTTTTCTATCTCCATTATCTATGGGAGTCCGAATTCCCAAAAGCACAAAAACCTTTGGGAGGAGCTCACTGTAATTGGGCAGCACAACGATCGCCCATGGGTCCTAACTGGGGATTTCAATGCCATTTTGGAGGCAGTTGATCGAAAAGGAGGGGTGACTAAAGGGTCTAAAGGTTGCGCCCTCTTTTATCACTTCATTGATATCAACTCCTTGCAGCAACTTGATTATGTTGGCCTGAACTACAAGAGACCTTATTTCAATGCCTTGATAGAGCCATTTGCAACCAGAGATGGTGTAACCAGTTCCCGGAGGCTACCGTTCACCATCTTCCTAAAGTGTAATCGGATTATAGGCATCTTTTAATCATCCCTTACACCTGTCCCCCCAACAAGGACTCTAAGCCTTTTCAGTTTTTAGCTGGGTGATTATCCCACCTTGATTTTCCTAATTTAGTTAGGATAAATTAGCACAACCATCTCCCCATTTAGGATAGCATTAGCAGTTTCAACGAGTCTGTACAGGATTGAAACAAGAATGTGTTTGGCTATATCATCAAGAAAAAACACATTCTTTTAGCGAGACTTAATGGGATCCAACGAGCTCTGGAAGGACACCATTCTGGTAGGCTTCAAGAGTTGGAAAGATCATTGGCTAAAGAATTAGATGAGGTGTTACTGCAAGAAGAAATGCTCTAAAAGCAGAAATCTCGTTGTAATTGGATTTCTTTGGGGGTGACAAGAACACCAAATACTTTCATGCTTAAACCATCTCTAAAAGGAAGAAGAATAGAATTAGTATGCTAAAGGATGAGAATGAGAATTGGAGAACCGATGAAGAACAACTTCGGAGGATGGCTGCCACATTTTTTGAGCACTTGTATACAGTAGACGAGGGATCTATACCTCAGTATAATGTTAGGGGCTTGTTTCCTAAGTTAACGACTACTATGATTGCTCAGTTAGACTCTGGAATGACGGACCAAGAGATTCATGACACTTTATTTAGCATGCAACCGCTGAAGGCTTCTGGTGTTGATGGTCTCCATATAGCCTTCTTTCAAAACTAATGGGAGATTATTGGTGATTCGGTCTGTGCGATGGTCAAGGGTATTTTTCAAGATGAATAACTACTTGCTGGGATCAATAAGAACCTTATCACTCTCATTCCTAAAGTTGCACGACTGGAAATTATTAAAGAATTTCGCCTAATTAGTTTATTTATTGTTCTATATAAAATTGTTACTAAACTCATCGCGAATAGACTCAAGAGTCTTATGGTTTTCTTGATTGGCCCTACCCAAACTAGCTTCGTTATTGGGCAGATATCATCGATAATATTATTATTGCCCAAGAGGTTGTCTACTCAATACAGATTTTGCAGAAAAAAGACATGTGGATGGTCATTAAGATAGACTTAGAAAAAGCTTATGATCGCATATGTGGGAGTATGTTGAGGACACCTTGATTGATATTGCTCTTCCTCCTAACCTTATCAGAGTAATCATGCATTATATCTCCTTTTGCTCCATGTAATTGCTGTGGAATGGTTGTCTCACCCATGAATTCCGACCTGCTAGAGGCATTCGCCAAGGGGACCCACTTTCATCTTACATATTTGTGTTACGCATGGAAAGACTATCCCATTGCATTAATAACTTGGTTAGAAATGCTACGTGGAAGCCTATCCGCCTTAACAAAAATGGCCCTGCCCTTTCATACCTCTTTTTTGTGGATGACCTTGTGATCTTTAGGAAAATCACTGATGACCAGGTTTGGGTTATTAAAGGGCTTTGGATGATTTCTGTGCTAGTTCATGTCGCAAAGTGAGTGCGAATAAGATATTTATCTTCTTTTCTCGCAACATTAACATATGTGAGGCTAGTCGTATTAGCAAGAATTTTGGATTTCTTGGGGATTCAATTGTTATATGATAGGGTCAACAAAGATACTTACTACTACATCTTTGAGAAAATTAACCAGAAGTTGTTTGATTGGAATACTAACCTTTTTCCTTTTACAGGGCGTTTAACTTTAGCTAAATTCGTCCTTAAGATTATCTTTGCCTATGTTATGCAGACAACAGCCTTACCAAAAACCTTATGTGATCATATTGAAGTGGTGGTGAGGAAGTTTGTTTGGGGATAGGTTTATAGCGACAAGAAGATCAACCTTGTCAGTTGGGATGATATATGCATGCTTTGTGACACTAGGGGGAGTGGTCTTTAATCTATCCATAAGCAAAATCAAGTTTTTTTTATGAAATTGGATTTTGCTATGGTGGCTAAACCCAACCTCCTTTAAGTCCTGGTTCTCACCCACAAGTACAAATGGTCTGGTATGTCGGGGAGCTATAAATCCACTAGGACGACCTTCCATCTTTGACGTAACCTCAACCATCTTTAGACG